ATGTAATAGTGTAAACAGTCTTCCATCTGCATATGTGTTTCTCCCAATGATGCTATGCGTTCACAATGCACTAATGGAAACGGGCCTTTACTCTTTCTCGAATGAAACAGATGGAAAATAATAATGGCACATATAAATATGTTTCCTTTAAATTTTAATATTACATTTAAAAATACATAACTAAATTGACTACTTTTTAGTGATTGATATAAGCAGTCAGCCAAAATATACCTTTCACATTATGTCAAATTTAGTGTTGCATGCTTAAATTTTTTAATACAGTATTACAAGATACAGGAAATGCTTTAGGTGAAAGATCAACTGTTCAGGGAAATAGTTTGAAAAATCCTACATTTTGATGTTACTTTCAAGATAAAATTCTCATTGATGATAAAAAAATTTACCCATCAGCTATATATATATCTCCATTTTTACTAACAGCAACACTAGCAGGCTTGCAGAAATGTCCATTATCATTTCCAGGAATGAATCTTTCACCCAAAGTCAAAACTGGCTTTTCAAGATCTGTGCTAGAAAACTGGAACACCTAAAAATCAAACATTTATTATAAAAATGAATTAAAAAAGATATTTTCTAATTCAGATAAAAGTTAACAAAATGCACTTTGCATATGTCCTTTTCAGACAGTAAGTACTTATCATGAAATAATAATGCTTAACTAAAAATTTTTTAAACATTGTTTAAAATTTTAACTTGCAGTTTTTTAATAACAATAGTTATTTTAAATCTTCAAATTTTAGTGAATTAAATTAGCAATACCACTTAGATTCCCAGTTTTTTAAAATTTTCCTGACCAAAAATTGAGTTTACTTTAAAAATTCATTTTATCCCTCTTTACTTTTATAATGGCTGGCCTCAATCACATTAATTTCCATAAACGTCATTCTAGCAAATGACTTACTTGTAAAGTTAGCACTATGCCTCTTTCGAAAAACATTTAATTGCACATGTCTTATCTCTTGTAACACTTGCAACCTTAAATATGTAGGACAAACCAAAAATAGTCTTAATATTAGAATTATCAACCACAGAGAACATATTAAAAAATTTGCTACTACCAATTTTAACATGCCTAATACAGCAGAATTAGAACATTTTCAAATACATGATTTCAGCAAAATTAGTATTCAAATTTTGGACATAGTGCCTGTATACAAAGACAGATTATTTCAAGAATCACTCTACATGCTTAAATTCAAAACACTTTACCCATATGGGCTAAATACATTCAACCACCAAATTAAATTAAATTCTGAAATTCCAACTTACAGCCATTTTAAATTATTCAGTAAAAAACATTATGAGGCATAAGAGCAGGTAATAAGACAGAAAAATAAATTATTTTCTACAATAGATACAGTAAATTTAAATGATAATATTAATAATTACTTTCTAACTGAGTATTTCACCAAAAATATCATTACTTGGTTGCATACTTGAAACACAAATTCTTAATGAAACTTGTAAATTTTGTTCAACAGCAATTTATGGGACCCAATATTATCAAAGACCTTGTTATAGATTTTTGCAATTTTAAATTCTCTACCACTAACAAGTACAATAAATATTACTGAACAATCAACTTCCTACATCCGAACTATGACGTATTCAGTTCAACAAAACTTTCAGAAAATGTCAACAACAATTTTCAGGTACTAAAGTACAAATCTCACCAGCAGTATCAGTATCAAAAACCTCTTAGCAAATTGCTAATTGACCACCATGATCTAGCTTCTACAGCCCATTGATACTGCAGAGAACTTCAGTATAAAGACTACGTAGATTTTCATAAACATATTGTTACTGGCAATTTAACAATAGTTAAAAAGCAGCTTTTAAGAAATTTAATAAAAAAAGGCACAAAATTTCTGTATGTACTAAAAATCGGAAAAAAAAAAAAAAAACTTGACGAGTTCATAGTTAAAACTAGTTACAAATTAAATATTCCAAATTCTGCCTTTATGGCTTGGAAACATGAAGTGTTAGAAGAAATGGAGCAAAGAATTCAAAGGATTGAATTTAACAGCAATTTACCATGGAATTTTCTCAATCCTCTAACACACGATTTGAAGCAAAAATTCGTAATCACCAAAATTGACAAAGCCAGTAATAATTTCGCATTATTTGAATATTTTTTTATGTCTCACTAGTTGATACTGAACTGAATAATGCCATTACTTACAAACTTACCAATACACGAGAAAACATCATAGTAAAAAAGCTTAAAGCAATTCATACGAAACTACAAATTACACAACCATCTAACTGCAATAGATTAGCAAATCTTTATGATCTTCCAAAATTCCATAAATTATCACCCAAATTTAGATTTACAGCAAATGGTACAAATAATTATAAAAAGAATACAGATTACATATTTGCAATTAAGCTTAAAAAAAACCTGAATTTTAACTCATCAACTAATTAACAAGCAGCACAACTATTGTTAGATTATTTATAATAATGCTCCAGTTGTCAACAAGCTTAAAAGTTTAGAAATCAAGAACATTAAATGCTATGACTTTGATTACCTCTATACTTCTATACCACTAGACGAAATTTATACTAGTTTAATGCAACTCCTACAACTTTTCCCCGACATGCTTAGCATCCTCTGAATTGAAAGATGGAAAACTTATCTGCAATGTGCATTATTTAATAACTACATTAAATTCAATAATAAAATCCTTCAGCAGGTGAAAGGAATTCCAATGAGAGTGAACAGTTCTACTCAAATATGCAACCTATTTCATTTTGCTAATGAATCTAAATTCCAACTTAGTTTGAATAAGAATGAATTAAATTTATTTGCAAATACATTCAGATACATTGATGATGTGATAACTTTCAATAATAATTCTGATTTTGAACAATTCAAAATTTACCCAGATAATTTAACACTTAATAGAACTAATACGAATAAAGATAATATTGAATACCTAGACCTGCTCATAATTAAACACAACAAAATTAAATTATATGACAAAAGGAGGATATTCCAGTTTGAACTATTAAACTAATTAATGGGAACTCTAATACTCTAAAAAAGTAAGGTAAACTTTCATAGCCAAATAATTATAATAAAAAATATGTACTGAAATAGAAGATTTAAAGGAAAAATAATAAACTAATTAATGTTCAAGTTAAACTGGTCCCAAACATTTATTAAAATTTATATTAAAAAGGCAAGCATTACTTTCTTTTTAATTTTTTAACTCTTTACGATAATATTACCTTAAACCTTAACTAGAGGGTAATGGAGGATTTTGAAGAGTTAAGGGATTACTTGTAAATATAATTTTTAAAAATGTATATTTTATTAATACTGGATTCCTTTTAAAATGAAGGGCCAACTCTTTTCAAAAGTCTCAATTATAGACCGAATTGAGTGAAGATTTTTATCTAATTTTCTAATTTCCTTTACTTTTGGCCAGTATTTAGTTAATGTTTTGATTTAATTTGTAACTTCAGTTTTAAATAATGCAGTCTAGTGCAAAAAATTTCTTACAATAATTCTCTATTTCAATTTGTAATTTTCTATTCAAATTAAATTTATTCAATTAAAATATTCGAAATTTTATTTTTACTAAAAAATTTATTCAAAGCCATTTTTTCAAAAAATGTTTACATCTTTAGTAGTTTGCAACACCTATTTTCACAAATAGCAGCAGTTCATATCTTTTACTTTTTAACATGACTCAAAGTTAGCAATATTTTTGCACACAATACAAGCATTTTACATTTTTAATATTTAAAGCATAGGTTTTTACAATAGCTCTCACAGATAGCAGCTTTACACTCTACTTTACATTGTATTAAAGCCCTCTATTTTTACAGTTAGCAGTAACAAACTACTCAACTCAACTAGTTTAGCAAATGCTTGTACCACTCAGAAATTCAAATATGTAGATCTAGGTAAGTTAAATTAAAACTGCAGTTAATAGCCTTTTTATTATTTTTATTTTTATATTTTGATAGTTGTATATAGTTTATTTTAGGTTTGCATGCATAATTCGTGTTGGAGAAGTTTCCAGTGGGCAAAAGTTTCTAAATTACTTTGGTTTTCCAAAAAAATTTTTTAAATTAATTTTAACTTTAGTCATTTACTTGCTCCTTTATCAAAATTCAATTGTTTAAATTTCTTTTTTAGAAATTCACAATGTATGGTTTTGAATTTTACTTTTACCCTTGTCTATATGGATGATGAAACACGAACTGAGTAATTGAGGAGTTAGGTTTGGGGGCAACTTCCTCTTTTAAAGTCTGTCTCCTGCCTGCTCAACAATTATTCACTTGTGCAATTTTTTGGAATAATATATTTTTTCATGGTTTTAGATACGAGCAATTAATTTACATATGCTCTTAGAATTTTAATGATATTGTAAATTAGTTTGCAGCAATAATAATAATTTTTATTTTTATTTCTTAGCAATTTAATTTCTTAATTAAATTTTAATTTTATATTTGCTTTATATGAATAGAGAATATTTGTTAAATATGGTAAGAGATATATACTTTGTGTCCAAAATTTATATGTCACTTCCATGAATATAGTAAAAACATTAAACAACATAATGACATGCCACTGCAAATATTATAAGGCATGGCTGGAAAGCTGATTCTGTTATTAATGTGTAAAAAGAAACCGAGAGAGAAGTGAACAAAGATGCATATTTAATAATGATTTATAAACATTACACTACTTTTCGACATGGTCACCCAGCACATTAAGGCATTTATGGTATCAAGATACAAGGTTTTGTATGCCAACATCATAGAACATAGTTGTCTGTGAAGTTAGCCAGGACGTTATAGCAAATTTCATTTTTTCATCATCATCAAACACTGTCCACTCAAGAATTGCTTCAAGTGCAAAAACAGGTGAAAGCCACTTGGGATCAGGGTTATATGGTGGATGATTTGTTGCCAACCAACTCAATGAAATCTTAAGAGTCACATGAGTGGAATGTGGTTTGGCATTGTCATGTACAACTGCAGAGTAAGTCACATCTTTGTTTCAAATGGCATGTTCAGTGTTGTATTGTAAGCAGCTGCATTGAAGATTTTTTTCTTTGGATGTAAAATCCACCAATAGGACAAATCCCCCCCCCGGAAAAAAAAAACAATGCACACAATTTTGCATGTGGAAATGATTTGTATGAATTTCCCTCATGTCCATGAGGCAGGGTACTTCTATTTCATTGCGTATTGTTTTGATAATGGTGTGAAATGGAAAATCAGGTCTCATTACTAGTGACAATGCAGTACAACAGTTTGTTTCCCTTGCTGTTGTATCGGTTCAGAAAAATCAAAGTAACAGCAAAACATATACCTTTATGCTCCTCTGTAAGCATTTTTGGTACCCACTGAGTACACATATTTCGGCAATCCAAGCCTTTACGAACTATTTCATACAGAATGGTGTGCAAAATGTTAGGGAACACCAAGGAAAGAGTGGAGATCATGAAACAGCTATACACAATAATTTTCACATCAATTTGATGAACCAGTTCATCATTTACAGCA